AACATAAAAGTTTAAAAGTATTGAAGAGCCTTTAATAAAACTTAGTGATATAAACACTTCTATGATAAGAGGTTACTATAATCAGAAATTAATCAGGTAATTTAGTTAAGAACTTATTAGAGTCATATTTTTTATTGCTTCTTTTTTAGTTTAATAATAATTCAAGTTACTTGTTTTTATATTAAATTTAAATTTAGGATAAGAATTGTTATTAGGTAAAAGAAAGGGGAGTAGTAATATTTAGTTATTATGTATTAATAGAGACTCTATTAATAATTATCTTTGAAGTATGGCAGAATGACCGGTTAGTCTTAGACTAGTAAGTTTTTAACTTGCAAAGACGTTTTAAGTAGTTCAATTTATTTTTTTCAATTTTGTATCTAGTTTTCAGAATTTCTATATATTTACTTACTAGATTTGAATTTTCATAATAAAATATGAGCATTCTGTATAAAGATGGTCACTGCAATTGAAAAAAATAGCGCAATTGAGTTACAACTTGTGATGCAATTAAATTTCCTTATGGCACAATTAAGTTGCAACTCAATTGAAATTTGAAAATAATTATGGGAACCATCTTTAATTCTGTATCTTTAAAAAAAATAATTATAAAAATATAAAATTTAATTTATTGAATTTAACATATTAAAAATATTAAATAATAGTATTTTTACATTTCTGAGATTGATAGATGGCAAAATACATGATTTAAAATTTTAATTTTTTTATAATAATTTATTATTTATTTATCTTAAAAATTCACTAGTTAGTTACATTAATTTTTTTAATTTTATTTAGAAAATATCATCAAAATTTATTATAAAAGTATTAATTTTTTTAATAATATATTTTAAAATAGTATAAATAATTAAAATGTACTATAATTAATAAAATTACTTATAAATTTGTAGGTAAAATAATTAAAGGGATAACGCTATTTAAATTTAGTCTATAAAAAAAGTTAAAAGAAATTTTATTCAAAAGTTGAATTAAAGTTATATAAAAATATATAAAATATAAAGATATTAGATTTTTTAAATTAATTTTAAAAAATATATGTAATTTTAAATTATTTAATAATAATATATAGAATAAGTTTATATTAATAAAATAATTATCATTTTATTTTAACTTAATAATAAAAAATAATATATTTTTATTTAAAACTATATTTAAATTAAAATATAATAATTTCTATTTTAAAACTTAAAAAATGTTTTGAGAGAAATTTTAAGTATAATAAATAATTTTTTTTTATAAATTTTAATTATGTATTTTTTTAAAAAAAATAATTTTAAAATTTTTAATAATTAAATAAAAAGTATTATAAATATTAATATAAATATTAGATTATTTAATACTTTTAATAAATTTTAAAAAAAATAGATAAATTAATTGATTTTTCAATTTATATTATTCAGTTGAATCACTTTTTCAAATTTTAACAAAAAAAGTTTATATATAAAAAGGTTATCATATGATTTATAAAATGTAATTTTATTAGTAGATTAAAGCTTATTATATTATTAATATGTATAATTTCTTTTTTACAATTTAATAGTTTTATATAGCTTTCTAAACAATATATTATATAAAAAATTTTTTCCAACTAATTTTTTAATAGCTAAACTTTGTAAAAATCTGCTTTTTAACAGTTAGGTAACAAATTTAAAATCATTATATTTCTAAAAATTCTTCTATTTTTATTTTTTTTTCAATAGGTAAACCTTTCTAATTCTTCAATCTTTAGAATTATAACTAATACTTTAAATGGTTCGGTTCAGTCTGAATTATAGGCCAATTTGAAACTAAACTGAAAATTTTGATTCAGTTCAGTTCAGATTAAAAATCTTAAAAATACCAATCCGAAATTAAATTAAACCATAAACTGGTAAAAATCTGAACTGAACTGAAAATTTCGAATTAATCTGAAATTTTAGATTGTTTAGAATAATAACTTCAATCGTTTCAAATGAACGATTTTTTATCGTTCTTTGGAATAATAATTTAATCGTTTCAATCAAACGATTTTCTTATCATTCATTTGAAATGATAATTTGATTATTACAATTGAATGATTCTTTTATCGTTCGTTTAAAATAATAATTTGATCATTCCAATTGAACAATTCTATTATTATTTATTTGGAATGATAATTTTATTGTTCCAATCAAATGATTCTTTTATTATTTGTTTAGAACAATAAATTTAATCATTCTAAACGATCTGAAATTTCAGATTAATTCAAAATTTTCAGTTCAGTTCAGATTTTTTCAGTTTGGATTAGATTTATAATCTGAAAAAAATCTGAACTGAACCGAAAATTTTTAGATTGAATTTTTTGCAATTTGAAACTGAACCGAAGTTAATCTGAACTGAAAATTTTTGGATTAATCTGAACTGTTCAGAGCTTTAATTATAATTTATTTTTATATATATAATAGTTATTTTAATAGAGTTAAGATGATTTTAAAAATGAAATGTAAATTGTATGATTAGGTCAAACAGAAAAATTTTTAAATAAAATTTAAAATTGACATATTTATTCAATTTTTATTTTTTTTATATGTAAATTTTTTATATATATTGTTATTTTACTATTTTCTTTTAGATAAAATTTGATATACTAATTTTATTATATAAGATCATATGATAAAAATTTTATTATAAAAAATTTAAATTTTTATAAACTAATACAATTGAATTACAAAATCTGAAAATTTACTTTATATAATCTTATTTCTTAAAGATTGATTAATTAGATAGCATAATATCTATATATTAATTTTTTAATTAATAAAAAATAATCATTAATAAACTTTATATCTCTGAATCAATTTTAAATTTTAATGTTACATAAACTGAAAAATAAAATTGTATAGTCTTTAGAAATACATATTAATTAATCTGATTAATTAATTGTTAATTAATTGTTAATTAATCAAAGAATAATTAACTAAAAATAATTAACTAAAGAATATTTTTAGTTGATCAATTAAAATAAAATAAGAAACTTTTTTAAAATTTTTTATAAAATTATATTTAGAATTGTGTAGTAATATAAAAAATATATATAATGTTAATTAATAGTTAATTAACTATGATGTAGATTATCTAAAAGTCAAACAGTCTGAATTTTTTTTTAGCTAATCATAACATATTATGTGATTTTTATCCAATCAAAATAAGCACGTGATTAAAATTACATGTGATTTGATATCAAAATTATCAATTTTTTGATTTTAATTTAATTTATTAAATCATGAAACAAAAAAAAACTTTTAAAATTGAAAAAAATATTATTATTCAATTTGTTTTATTTAATTTTTCTAATGTATTTTTAGGAATTTTTCTATATAGTTTATATTTCTTAGCGGCATATTCTACTAAAAAATTTTTTTAATATATTATTTTTTATAAATGAGTTAAGCAATATATAAAACTTACTCAAGCTCTGTAGAAAATTTTTCTTTCTTATCCAGTTTGCATTTTTCAATGCAGTTTTTCTTTGTTAAGTTCTAAAAAAAAAAATAATAATAATCAATTAATATCATGTTACAAATTTTTATGTGAAAACATTTTTTTCATTAGACAAAATCAATATTACATAACAAATCGTATGTTTGAAATTTAAGCATTTTATAAGAAAATTGTTAATTTTCAAATGCTTAATGCTCAAAAATTTTCTAGTTAATTAAAGATTTGAAACCATAAATTTTATTTTCCATTATCTATAATATTATTATTACAAATTATTTTCTCTTTATAATGTGTAAAAAAAAAAGTTTTAGGATTTTGGAATTCAATAATTTTATTTTTATGTATAGATAATCTGTACTATAATTAATTAACTAAATTTTAATTAACTATTAATTTTTCATTCTTAATAGTCTTATAAAAAATTTTAAAATTACTAATAAATTATAAATATATTATAAATATATTTTAATTATTTTAATTATAATCTTTAGTAAATTTTTTGTTTATAAAATGAATTTATAAATATAAAAATCATTTTTATAAATTTATTAAATTAATTTTATATTAAATATTATAATAAAAAAATAAAATTATTTAATGTATTATATTATTTCTAGACAAAATTATATAATATCAGCTAAAAATACCACTATAACTAGTTGCAATTATATAATGCTTATTTATCACCAGTTGCATATTTTTCATTGATTGCAACTAATTGCAGTACTATCTTTAATGCTAGCTAAAATTAAAATATGTAATATTTAATGCAAAATATGAAGAATAGATTTTTTTATAACTAAAAAATTTATAAATCCTTTAAATATATATAAAAAATGACAAAAAAAGAGGTAACAAAAGAGAAATGATAATATTGCATAATGTATTGAATAAATTATTTTTATATAGTATTAGGAATTTAAGTAAGTTTTTCTATAAGAGTAGTTTTTATATAATGGAAAAAATTACATATATAGTATAGAAATAATAAATATAAATTATTTCTTATATATTTATCCTGCTTTTTTTTTTTTATTTAATTTAATAAGTTAACCTTAATATTTAAACAAAAATATTATAATTAATTGATTTTTAAACTTTTAAATAACAATTTTAGCTTTTTATTATATTTATTAAATTTTAATTATAATAAAACCTTTTAATTTAGAAGATCTTTAAAAAATAATATAACTAGAAATTTTTTATAAATAGATATTTCTACTAATATATGCTATTTTCACAGAATTGAAGAATTTACAGACTTTAGCATCTTTAAGCAATTTGTTATTAGAAGTATAAGTAAAGTAAACAGATTCATTATTTTGATTTTCTTTTATAATATTCTAAGATGATATATTAAAACTAATTCTCGTATTTAATAAAACAGTAAAAAGTCAATCAATTTTATCAAAAACAAAACAAACGCCCAATTTTATTAATTTTTTTTATTAATTAAATTATATAATACATTTTAGTAATTTATAGAAATGTTCAACATAACAACTTATTCAATAAGTATTTTATTTGACTTTGTCAGATGCTAAACCTTCACCAGTTAAAAAGTCAAATGTTTCTGAATGCGATTGTAGAGTCTGATATATGTGATATGGAATTAACAATTTTTTTACATTTGCACTTCTTGATGGACCTGGATCGTCTCGTCTTTCAGATTTGTAAGTCCTCATTGATTTGTTAATTAGATCTTTTAAAAAAACTTTGGTCAACTAAATATAAAAGTAAAAATATATTAAAAAAAAATTGTGGCAGTTTCATTACATACAGAAAGATAAGAGGAAATATATTAAATATTTACTTGAAGTAATAAATTACCGGTTTCTAAACGTTGTTGCATAGCAATATTTTGATCCCCCTCAGAACTAATTATACCACTTTCATTTGTAATCAATTTAGTAGCTACAATTCCTTCCAATTGCAAATTGCCAACCACAGACCATATCCAATCAATTCCCTGTGGATCAAGAATGTTTGTCTTTGCATACCATTGTTTCGATTTATTTCCACTTTTCATTGTTCCTTTATCTTTTAAATTAAATATGACACCTCCACCAATATCAATGTTCATTGTATCATCACCTGTAATTAATCATTTTTTATCATTAATCTAATTGCATACGATTATCATAAATTAAAACTTAAGTGAATTTACCCTGGTAATTATCATGATCTTCTAATTCTTCTAAAATCTCTTTTGCAGATGTTAAACTGACTAATCGACGCTTCTTGGTTTGCAAAAAGTGTGGTCTGAGCCTGCATTTATAAGAAAATACTATGCCATTACTAGATTTGGTTGTACTTGAATTAATCTCATGCCAGACCTCAGGACATCCGCATGACTTGCAATAAGTAATTTGATGTTGTGGCTTTTTAATTAATGAGGTAGATGTATTGAGATCATTTGAAGCTAATGATGATATGAGAGGTTTAATTGCAATACTTCGATTAAGCGCGTCTGAATTTGATGCACCTTCAAGATTTACAGGTGTATATCCTTTTTTACGACACCAAAGAACAACCTGTCTAGTGGTCAATGATTCGGCTATTGTTTTTACTTTCTGATCAATTGATGTACGCGCTAACGACTGAACCAATGAACGTATTAATTTTGCTCTGTTTATTTCTGAAGCTTTACGACGATCAAGTTCCCAAGAAAGATATGCTCTCACTGAAGTTGCAGTCGAATAAGGAAGTGTTGATTTTCGCGCAGCATGGGCAGATAACGATAAAATTAACGGATAATTCTGTACAGCTTCATTAAGTAAAGGTTCTATACAATTAATATCTTCTAAAGTAAGCACTTCATTGTGTTCTTTATTTTTTTGAGTAGGAATGATATTAACTGATATTTGTTTAACGTTAAATTTAGATACATTTTGTTGAGTGCTATCCTGTATTATATTCAACTTGCGCTTTTGTTTATTGTGCTCAGGAATAGAAGCAATAAACTCTGTATTTCTATCCAATTCAAGATCAAATGCGCGTTCGTCGCCAAGTCTTTGTTTTCCACTATGAGTGTCATCAAGCTTCAATGCATGAATCACGTCCACAGGTTTATTCCTCTTATCAACAAAAAATATTTGTATCCGTATCGGAAATTCACCCCATCCATATCTAGTAAGTTGAAAGGGAGAATCGACCACATCAACAATATCGTGAGGACGATAACTTGGATGAAGATAAAATCTAACTTTACGTATAAAGGGCGTAACATTTAAGTCGTGAGGTGGTCCAGCAACATATACCATCCATTTATGTGTATATTTTTGAAGATTTGGATCTCTTTTTTCTGGAGCAACCCATTTAGAAACATTACCAACAACAATGCGACGTTTAACATAAAACCTCGAACCGTGATCAATCGGGTCAAACACACTAATACAAGCAGGAATAGTAAATGCTGCAGAAATTGTAGTAACTTCTCGCTGATGTGATATCCCAGATAAATTAATTTGATCGAAAGTCGTTGATACGGATGTTGTGGCTTTAACTACTTCACTTCTTGGATTATTAATGAGTTTAGACCCATCATTTTGAGATTTTTGAACTTCATTATTTATTGTTACTGGATCAATTTCCATAATCTCATTCTCGCTTTTCCCGATAGCATCATTTGAACTTTCATTTTCTTTTGAATGAGAATCTTCAATATTATTTTCAGAAATCTTGTCATTTTTATTTACAATATTTATCTCTGACTTAATTTTTTGTTGATAATAAGGTGGTGTCGTTTTATTAAAGGGTGAAAAGTCCAAATCACTAGAATTACTACTAAGTTCACCATCATCAATTTCTGAAGAAGTATAGTTCAGCCCTAAAACGTCCGGAGAATCTAAATTCGTATCATTCTCAGAAGATTTTATGGCGCGATCAGACGTAGTATACGAAATGGGAGAGTTTTCGGAGTAACCACTTTCTTGATTGTTAGAATATGTTTTATCATGGCGAATTGAATGTTCATCCACCCCAAGATCAATATCTTCTTCAAACACTTTGATTGTAGGCTATTATCAATTTAAATATTAAATAATTATTGCAGAAATGATATTAAATAATATATATATATATATATACATACCCTACTTTCGCTTATTTTGAAATAATAAATATTTTTAAAATCGTTAGTTCTTTATCCCGAAATATAAAAATTTAAGAAATAAATAAATATATATACTTTGCACGATTTGTTGAAACATTTGATTGGCCCAATATTGTACGAAGTGATGGTGGTCTAGTGACAATTCTGGATCTTGCAGGATGATCTAAGGGAATTATGCTTTCATTCTATCAATTAAATAAAAATCTTAAGAAATTTCAAAGAATTGATAAAATAAACCAAATCATTAAAATTAAAATATTTACCACAGGGGTGCCACATATAAGAAGGGCTTCTTCATGGTTAGGAAATTCTATTTTGTGAGAGAGACGGCAATGATTTAGAAAACCTTGAACATTGATGAATTTGGAACGATGACATTCAGGGCAAGCCAATCTGCAATTCAAATAGATTATAATTTCATCCGTAATAAAAAAAAAGAAAATCAGAATTAACACCGCTCAAGGCTTACTTTACATAGGTACCATCATTTCTGCGTGAATACAAATCTCTACATGGATCAAAATAATAATAATCATTGTCTCTGGTAGAGTAAATTTTACGTGTTGAATGACGCGTTGAAGGCAATGAAGAAGAGATCGATTGATTATTTGATGCTGAAACGTTGCAAATTGAATCTTGAAGTCTATCCGGAGGAGCTATTTAAACTTGTAAAATTAATAAGAGCTTTTCCGGATAAATCATTTTAAATTTTATTTAGCTCTGAAAATTTAATATTTTTTTTTTGCTAAACTTACGTTCCAAAATACAATGTTTAAGAGTTTCAAGAACTCTTTCTGCCTTTTTCAATTCTTCTTGAATTTTCTGCATTTCTCGATGACGTAATAAAATTTCTAGGTCAAATTGTGCAACGATGACCTTAGAAGCTTTTCGTACTGTCTCTTCATCTACGAAATTAACAAAAAAAAAAAAAATTATATATATCCGTATGCTTTATTTACTTTCTTTAGACGCGTTTTTGTACTGTACATATCGCAATACCTCTTGGAATTGGTCTTCGTGGTCGACTTATAAATTGATCGTTCGAAGTTGTATTGTACATTCTGGTTACAATTAGAACGTAATGCTTAAAAAAAATTTTTTTTAAAACTTATTAAGAACACGTGACATTCGCAGAAAAATGGTAGCCGGATTTATTTTCCGGGGATTTTTTCCGGGCGACGTTATGTAATTAAAACACGTGAAAACCTTTTTATATATAAGCCAAATGCAATTTTTATTAAATAAAACATAAAAAAATTACAAAATTACGCTTTAGAATTTTTTTGCGAGAGGAAATATTCGTTATCGAAAAACTATATATACTATTCAATTCAATTATATACCTTTTAATGTTGATTACTATATTGTTTAAATTGAGCCATTAAATCGACTACATTAGCTGGGGCGGTAATTGGTGTTGAGAATTGAGTCACATTTGGATTCATATGTGGAGCTTGATGTTGTGATAAAGGTATTCCATTCGAGGACATCGCATTTTGAGGCAGAATATTAGGTGGCTGACTCATCATCGCTACATTAAATTGCGATTGTGGTGAGGCAAGATTAGGTGCCAACTGTTGTGGCATTGACATAAACGGGGTTTGATTCTGAAGCCCAGAATTTTGAGGAGCAAGTTGTCGAAGCAATTGTTGAACGTCTATATTTGGCGGATGCTGTTGAGATAACAAACTAGGTTGTTGAGAAGGTTGGATACCTGGTGGAATCATGGGAATCGGTTGCATTCCTTGAGCGGGAATAGGTGTAGGTGCAGATTGTTGCTGTTGCTGATGTTGTTGTTGAAGCGATCCAAGTAAATTTGCAAGAGCAGTGAAATTTACACTATTCAAAATTGGATTAAGATGATTAAGATTAGTTGAGACAGGTTGTCCTACAATTGGTGGTATTTGCTGTACATTTTGTTGCTGTCCGAGTAAATTATTATCTGCTGTTCTCATTTCTATTGGACGTTGAGAAATTCGAGTACGCAACAAAAAACCAACTGCTTCCTCAACTTTAATATTGTTATATTCTAAAAGTAGAAAAATATGATAAAATACAAAGTAATTAAATAGTTCAAAAGAATAAAAACCTAATAATTATTAATCGAATACAGACCATCGTATTTGACATTGTCCCTAGATCGTGATTGATCAAATATTTGCATATTCACTCTCCCGTTTAATGCAAGATGTCTCTCAATAAACACAACAGCGTGAACTCCTTCTATAACCATCTGACGAATAACAGACTGAGGATGAAGTTTTCGAGACAAATGAAGGATATGAACGGTAATTGACGCTTCACTAAAGGCATTTTCAACTTGCCATAAGAAGTTACTATATTAAAAAAAAAAAAAAATAATGAAAATGACGATAAATTTAACTCATCTAAATATGATGTAACTACAAATTTACTCATGAGAAACAAATACCGTTCTACTTCCTCAAGTACAATAATTTGACATTCTGGCACATCATTTCCTTGACGTCGGGGCAAAGGAAATTCTTCATTGGGCTCGTCATGTGATAGAGAACGATATGGATATTCACGACTTTGTCGTCGTTCGTTAAAATCACGAGGAGGGATTTTATAGGGCTTAGAACGATTTTTAAACCGCTCTTCGCGATGTTGTTCTCGATAAGAGCCTCGTCTAAATACTCTTTCTTCACGTGGTCGATAATCATGATCTTCCTTCAAATCTCCACGAAATTCCTGTGGTGATCGAAATTCTTTATGTTCGGGATAATCGTATCCACTTCTCGAATCATATGACGTACGACGAGCAAACTTAGGATCATTTGGTCGACGCTCATATTCATTATGTCTACGATTAGAAAAAGATTGACCATGTCCTCTGCCAGCGGGAGAAGAAAGTTCACGTTCATTTTGTTGCCATGCATTTTTGTGTCCTCCTCCTCTTTGATTCCAATTTTTTTTATGCCGATGAGCAAAGCCAGGTTTAAATCCCCCATCTTCTTGAATAGGTGAATGATTCCATGGCTTACTGTATGATATTTCGAGCCCTAAATCATTAAAAAAGAAGGTAAGTATCATGTTTTGAATAACGTTTCGTACATTTCCCATCTTTGTCTTTTTGTTTGTTAAGGATACTTGCCCAATTTTAATCCATGTAAGATTCTTCCATTTTCCCCTTCGATCGCTTTTATTACACTTTCAACATTATCATATTGAACAAATCCAAAACTATTTTTAATAGAAATTTGCAAAATTTCTCCATATGGAGAAAAAATATCGAAAAGTTCTTTTTTTGAAGTTGAATGGGTTGATAAATTTCCTAAAAATAAACGTGATCCAGAAGGCAAAGCTTGAAACTCAGCATCTGATATTTTCCTTAAATTTAATGAACCTTTATGATCAGATTTCTCATTATCAAATTGTGAAATTGGAGAACGATTATTACTCCATCTTCTTGGTTCTCTATTAGTTTGATTAATATTAGGCTGTACATTTTGTTCATATTCACTCTGATAAATATTTCCTTCAATAGTAGGAGTATTAGACAATTGAGGAATTTGTCCAAATTCACCTAATAAGTTACCTTCATTTTTGGATTGATTAACATTTTCATCCGGAAAACTATTTTCCGCTGATAGATTAGCATTTGGAACGTTAAAATGATCGGCAGCCTTAGCGCGAAAAGGTTTCAAATTAATATCATCGTTTTCTTGGGAATTGATATTATCATCTGTTTCCAAATTATTATTATTATCATTATCCATTTTTATGTCGGGTAATGAATTCGTAGTATTATTTTGATAATTTACTCCAATATTGGGAGATTGATCATGAGAGAATAGCGATTCTGTAGATAATTGTTGTTCAATGAATGATTCTTGTTTAAATGACGGTACTTTTTTCACAGATGGTTCAGTTGATGGCTCAATAGAAGCCTGGGCCAATGAATTATTATCAATATCGGTATTAGAGTTGGGTAAAGGCATTTCTATCTGATTTTGTACAACAGGCTCTGGATTAAACAAATTCTGAGGAGTTTCAACTACTCCTTCGAAATTAGAAACATTTTGAACAGAATTAGAATTTATTTCGTTCTTTGTTTGTTGGATACTTGTGGTATTATCTAATTCCTGTTGTTCGACTATACTAATTTCTTTTTCTTGTTGTGAACTAGTAGAAAAATTTTCGTTATATGTTATATGAACACTTTGAGAGATTTTTGTCACCATGTTAAGGTTATTTTCGGTGAAAGAAAGTTGCTCAAGACTATCAGAGTGATTCTCCTTAGTAGATTGGTTAATAGAAGCAGTATTCTCCGACGGAAAACTTGTAAAGGAATTTAATGTAGAAAGGTTATCCTTGTCGGGATCAAATCCTTTTGGAGTATTATTATTAATCTCTTTGTACAAATCTGAATTATTAGGCAAACTTCGTTCCTCTATTTCTGACATTTTTCTTACTCGCTTCGTTACTCAAGCTTCTTTTTCTAACGTAAAGGATTTAGCCGAATCAAATGGTACACTTGAAATAAAAAAAGAAAAAAAAAAATTTCACATAAAATAAAAAAAACAACTTTGCAAGAAAAAAAAATTTTTTTTTTAGAATGTATTGTGGAAAACCACAACGGTATCCATCTGGTTAAAAGATTTGGAAATGCCCTTGTGTAATTGTAAATATGACATCCAGTCGTCATGTGAGAGTTGTGTAAATCAAAATTTTTATATTATAAAAATTTAACCCATTAAGTCAATTTGTGTTTGGAGGTTCAAAAAAATTTTCTTATATTAGGTTAGCTTTTAAAAACAGTTTTATTCTCCAATATTTGAGAATCAAATCTTTTTTAACTATTTAACAAGTTTTATTAACTTGATCCCATTCTTTAAAGAAACTTTTATGGAGGTACCTTTTTTTTTCCTTTGTTTTTTTCAAAGATTTGTTCCTCATTTGGTTTTTGTCGATTCTTTCTTTTAATTATTGACATTTATATACATTATCAACTATTTTCAGCATATTATTTCTTGCTGGAGAAAATAAACAATCACAACAAGAAAACATTCAGATAGTGTGATTTCGAACCAAAGAAAAGCTTTAAATACAAAAGTCAACCTGAATTACTGAGAAAGTTATAGTTCAATGTTTAGACCATCGTCACAAAGTGATTTTGCTCGAGACGTTGGAGATTTTTCTAGTGGTCTCACAAATTCATATTTTGATTTCACACATTCATCAGCACCATCTTTTAATCAGTTTACTCGCTCGGATATATTGTTATCAAACCAGATTTCAAGTCAACCTTCAGCCGCAGCAACGGCTTTACAAGCCACGCAGACTCCCGCAATAGCAGGTGAATGCTGCACAGAATGTTGTCCCGTCGCTGCTGCACAAGCTGCAACAACGAACCGAGAATTGGAATCAAATAACATTGTTGATGGAGCTGATTTTCAAAAATTCCCACCTTTTAGTTTTTCAGATCCTTCCTTAAATTATAAATCTAGTATTAGTTCAAGTATTATGGATTATGGAAATTTTTCACATATTCTTGGACAGAATTCATCGACATTCAGGATGCCTTTTTTTCGACATCCTCAAGAAGCAAGAACTTTTACGTCACCACAATTTCACAAAATGATGCAAGATCATTTCACTGCATTCTTATCTGAAGGGCAGCAACAAAATACAGATTCTAATGTTTCAACAACTTCAATTCAGATATCTCCGATTCCTTCAATCGGAGAAAAGGTTCAAATCATGTCTTCAAATATTGAGGTAAGTTATTTCTAGAGATATATATATTGGTGAAAATATTTAAAGTATATATTTATTTTAAAACTTTATGTATTTAAATTCAAACATCATCATGAACCTTCTAATATTAAGTAATTTAATTCTCAGACTTCCTTAGAATCGAACAGTGCTGTTTCAACAATGATTAGTCAAGTTGAATCATCTGCTTATAACATGACTATTTCAGAAGCCGCTTTAGAGGAAAATACCGAAAACACGTTTGATGCAACCCATTCTGGATCGCTTTCAGATATCGAAGATATAGCAACGACATCCATTTCAGAGTCGACATCAATTAATAAAGTAGGTTCCAAACGAAAAGAAGACGATGCTTTAGATGAGACGCGATGTCTTTGGTCTACCTGTGCTGCTGTATTTAGATCCATTGACGAACTTATACCTCATCTTTCAAAATTACATGTTGCTGGTCGTAGTAAAGGCAATTTCTGTCGATGGGCATCTTGTTCAATGGAAAAGGAAGGAAGTGATGAATTAATTAAACATTTATGTTTAGACCATTTGGAAACGAGAGAATTCCGACATGGATGTAAATGGCAAAGCTGTCATTTACGATTTGAGACTTTTGAAGAGTTAACAGGTCACGTTAGTGACCTTCATATCGGATCTGGAAGGAGTCAATATATTTGTTATTGGGAGAAATGTGATAGAAATGGGCGACCATTTACTCAACGTCAAAAAGTTATGAGACATATTCAGACACATACTGGTAATATTCATATTCATATATTCTTTCCCAATATTTTTATATTTATATTTATTAACTTTATATATGATTTTTAAAGGGGATAAACCATACCAATGTACTATTTGTAAAAAACGTTTTTCTGAAGCTAATATTATGACTCAACATATGAGAACTCATACAGGAGAGCGTCCCTTCAAATGTACACAACCTGATTGTGACCGGGAATTTTCTATTTCGGGAGCATTAACTATACACCTGCGGGTGCATACAGGTATTTAAAGTAACTTTCTATTGATCCATTTATCTATTTAATATATATATTTATATATTTATATCCTTATTATAGGGGAAAAACCTTTTAAATGCAAGTATGAAGGATGTGTCAAAAGATTTGCAGAATCATCTAATCTCACTAAACATGTACAATTTCTTTTTATTTTTATATGAATTTTGAAGTTACATGGCAAATGTTTTTTTATTACTAATAAAATGGTTGTTATATATAGATGAGAGTTCATACAGGTGAACGACCTTTCAAATGCCCAATTACAACGTGCAATAAAAAATTTTCGCGACCTGATCAAGTAACGCGACACCAGAAAACGCACAAACAAGAGCTGTAATTTGTTTGTTCAATTCTTTTTCACAAGGTAAGTAATTGATATGATCTTTAGCTCGTGGTTTTTTTTTACTAAAGGCTATTTCCTTTTTGATTTGTCCTGTTTATCTACAATAACAAAGGTATTCTTATTGATTATAAAAAAAATTGCGTGATAATTGCAACCCGGATTTAAGATAAACAAATAATTTAAATATTCTACAACACCTTATTTGATTCCATTAATCTGTATATATTCTGGTCAATCTTATTTATTATACATTTGGTACGGTTTTTAACATTCAACGGATTTGGTTAGATTCTTTTTATAAACATCTCTTAACCATATTAATAGTGTAATAACAAAAAAAAAAAATGAAAAAATTTTAATCATAAAAAAAAAAAAAATTATCTTAATGCATCTGTAATAAAATTATTTTTATTGTATTGAATTGAAGCATTATTTCATTTTTCCTCCTTTCTATTGCAAAGGTCCCATATTATTCATCTATATGTTCCAATGTTTCAACCACATCCCAACAACAACACCGCAATAAAAACTACATTCACAAGCAAATATAAGGAATACAGATAGTGATTTATCATTACCAAGCCCATAGAGCTGGCACATTTTTGGAAAGTCGAAAGTGCGAAGGACAAAGTTGTTTCTATTATTACAGTGAATGTGATGTTATTCCTTTGTTGCAAATAACTGGAGCATGTTACGAAACTCTAAGTCATTTTGAGTATCATATTTTTCTCCATTGCATATGAAGCCAAGTACTTTTTCCTCAAGTTCTTGGGTCTTATATATGGCAAAGATAGTTTCTTTAAGACTACAAAGGTCATCTGCTCTATATTTGCAACCCATTTAAATCAGTGTTGGGAAATAGGACAATTTTGGACAGGTTATGGACACGTTTTCCTATGTCCAAAACCTTGTCCAAATATTTAAAATCAAAAAAAATGTGTCCAAAACCCAACACTGATTTAAATCCCTTTCGTTTTGGATTAATTACAACGTAAAATTCTATAGATTGACATAAAATTTATTCAATGTTCTTTAACGTTAATAACACATTTGCGAAATCACAACCAATAACATACCATATATAGAAACTAGGTTTTTTTTGCAACTCGACCAATTGATCCAAGAGTTCCTGCTCTCGAGGGGTTATACTGACAGTTTCTGATAAAGATAAGATGAACATGTTCCTCAGTTTGTTATTTGGAAAAGTACTTCCTTATCTTCATTGCGAGGAGTTTGTTAGGATCAATACTATTTTAAAAAAATTGTTAGTTTTAAATTGTTGTTGAAATTACAATTTTGCTAATTTAATAAACTTACTTTTTAGGTATTCCAATGTTAATTTGGTTTCATCCTCTGAAAAATCAAATCCTCTCTTCAAACAAGATCAATCTCGGTCATTAAGTAAGAGGTTGGCCAACGTTTCATCATTATCATCAGGTATTTCGACTTTACAGATTTTAAGACCTTTTGCATCGGGTACATCTATTTCCTCCTTAATAACATCTTTCAACTCATCAATGGTTTCTTCTTTATCAATTTTTACTGGAAAGGCACTTGCTAATACATCTCCTTTGATTAGACAGAAAAGAATTGTTGCTTTTTGGCGGTAATAGAATACAGTCGACCTCCTATATAGTCACACCCCTTGGCAGTGTTGTGCTGTGACATGTCCCAGATGTGCTTGGGACAATTGGGACATAACGTGGGACATAGTGTGGTACAGTCTTAAAATACTTGGGACATGAAAAATGGACAACACTGACCCTTGGGACCAAAAAATTTGGTGACTAAAAAAAGTTTTTGATGTGACTATAGAAGAGGATTTTTTTAATAAGTTTATGCATAACAAAAATGTGCTTATAATGGAGGTAGGAGGTGACTATATAGGGGTCGACTGTATTTTCTTTTCTTCGTATTTCTTTCTTTTTAAAGGATTACGAAGTTCCTAGTAGCACAGCAAAGGGAAGGCAGTGCAGTCAATATTCACTTGCCATGAGTAACTGATTTCTCCTTCAGAATCAGTGGACCTTAATCAATGCACGCCGCAGGATGACACTTTTCCACACCAGCAGTGTATAGAAGTGTACATGTCTGGACGCATCTTCCTCCATACCAGCAGTATAAAGAGCAGCACCCCATTATTTATGAATACTGACCTTCTGAATTGCGTAAGTCTTCTGAAATTCCTTTGTTCCTGGTTCAAGGTACTTAATTAAATGATTTAATTTCATTTCTAAAGCATTGTGAGACATTTTTTTCGATGCATTTTGGTTCCTTTCGTAAAAGAAGCTGTCCCATGCTTGTGTATTTCCCCAAAAGACGCAGGGCTTCTCCTAATATTCTAACATAGGACATAGCATTGAAATTTTATTTTATAATTAATATAGTAAAGACGAGTAAATACTTACCGTTATAGTGAACTTTAGATAAATTTTTTCATTTGTGAAGAACAAGATAGTAGAGAACTTAAAGGATCTTAAATAAAAAATTACTTTTTCAATATGATTTGGACTGACAACGTGAAAAAGATTTAGCACGCGAAATTGAGTTCGCGTCTGTTTTAAATCATTTTATACGATGTACAAACCTATTTTTAGAATTTTACTACGTTGGTTACAAAATGCATTATAAATAATTAGTCGACAAATATTAACTTAGATTTAATGAATAAATATTAAATAAACCAAGGTAATATTAATAACGTTTTATATATATTTTACTAGCTATTAAAACTTTTGACAAATTTCTAGAATTAGATCCAGATAGCTTTTGTACTTTAATTAAGAAATAGGAATAAAATCTACAAAAAGTTTTTTAAATCTAAGATTGCAAAAAAAAAAAAAAGGAAAAAAAGCAAGCTGTTGGATTTATTACCTTCTTGTAAAGTTAGGTAACAAGTTTGCTAATAATTTAAAACTTGAAATTAAATATATGTAAACTTAAAAGATATTATTAAAACTTTGTAAACATGGATTTTATGTTGATTTTGAAAAATAAATCTTAATTAATTTAATAAAATTTATTATATTGGGCATGCTGCAATAAAACCAGACAAAGTAAACATTGATATTATCAAGAATTTCAGGGATCAATATGTTTGTCTAACATCACAATTATATTATCATGTAATGTGATCATGATATTTTTCTAGACGAAAATAGCTAATATGAAACTCATTTACATAAGATCTATTATGGAATCCAAGAATTACAGTACCATTAGAAATATTTTGAAGAAAGAATAAGGTGAAAAAATTGTTCCTTACATTTTCAAAATAAATAATACTCGGACACTTGAATCTTATCTAAGAAAAGAAAGGATTATTTATGAAATTTACCAAGAAGAAAGAAAAATAATAAATATTAAAAAAAGAAAACATTATGATGATGTATTATTATCTAATAAAATCTTTAAAAGAAAAATAAATATCACTTTCTTTGATAGTTACAATAAATTTCAATTTATAAGAGAAAAGTATTTTTTCAATTACTTTCTTATTTTCAATCAAGATCATCTTTTAGTCTCTTTAACTTCAATTTGAGTAGTTAATTGACCATTCTGTTGATCTTTTAATTTTTTGTTTTCCTCTTTCCTTTCCATAAAATGCTAATTCTTTTAATGCATTTGATTTATAATATGTTATCAATTTTGTCATTGATTCTAATTTTTCTACACTTAAATTTTACCTTCTTTTTCTTGTTAACTAGCCTAAAGTTGAAAATCCTCTCTCATAACTTACACTATTAGAATAAATTGATAAAATATATAAAGCTATTCTTTGTAAATAATTAGGTTCTATTTTAATAGATTTTCACTAAAGTAATTGGACTATTTTCATTAGAATATGGTATGTTAAATAGTGTATTTTGTTCTTTGTATCAATATAATTGGAAGCATAGCTTATATATTACTTCAAGATCAAATTCAAAAATTTGAGCAATCTCTCATATAGCTGCTATTATATGATTATATAAGCTATATTTTATAAGCTCATTTATTAAATTTAAAAGAATATTATAGTTAATTAAATTCATATTATTATTATAATTATTATTAATAAATAAACTTA